AGTAACCCACATGTGCTAATGACGGCTTAATTTCGATCAAAAGATTCATCTTGCTTTTTTCAGGCGAGTTATGAAATTAGTTTTTTCATTCGTGTCCGAAAACCCCTTTTATATCCGATTAAACATCTGATGTGATATCCAAAAATTTTTTTTTCGCGAACTAAACCCACCCTAGGTAGTATGAAACAGAGACTTCGCCTGTCTTTGGCAGGTTACCTGCACACTAGGGAGAGCAAGAAAGTAATAAATGGATTGCTCTTCTTGGCTTCTTTGACTTGTGTCAGCTAGTAGTATTAGTGGAGAAGGGTTGAATGCTACCACCTACAGAGGCTACACTTACAAACTTGCAGTACTCTCCTGAGGGGCTGCAGTTTTAGCTAAGGCCCTTAGGCACTATTTCTTTCAGCTTGGAATTATTATAATCCAGCTTATTAGGAGTAAGCTGAAAGAAACAGACAACTTATTGAAGTAGCTTATTATAATCTGGAGTCCAGCTTATTATAATCTGATAAGGTCATTTAGGTGAGCTTTTTCCAGATTATTGGGTGAAAAATTACCCACCATGCCACCCCACTCTCTCTTTAGACTTGCAAACCCAATAATCTAGGCTCTAATAATCTAGAAAAGAAACAACTAACCGCTTATTCTACTACAGATTATAATAATCTAGCTTATAGTAATCTAACTCAATAATTTAGATTATAATAATCCTAATATGAAAGAAACAGGACCTTATATGAGCTAACAGTGCTGTTTATTTGAGCCTGAAAGCCACTATATATGCGATATTATTGGGATGTAATATCGCTGTTCATGTTGCCACACCCTTCTAGTTGGCCAGTACAACCCATGTGCAGAGTTGTCTGTGCCACATCTTGGATGAAAGTTGATAACTATGACTTCGAATGTGATTATTTAATTAAATTTTAACAGTAAAACATCTACTAAGTGTTGTAAACAACAGTCAAATTTTATGAAACTACAAATATTTTAACAAACTTATTCAAAATACTATAAATTTAAACCAACCACCCCCTCCCCAGGTATGACAGAACTATATATATTTTATTTTAGTATCGCATTATCACAAAAGTATATATTTAAGTCACAATATTGTAAAATCATATTTAGCGTATAATTTATTAGAGTTCCCTACATGTTTTAAAATTCTTATCATGGCAATAGTGATAGGGATGTATGTTTGTAGTTCCGTCAAATTCAGTATGTAATTTTGTGATGTTTTTTAGAGAGAGTTTTGCATTTTTGTGATGTTTTTTAGAAATAGTTTTGTAATATTGTAGTTTAGCTTTGTAGTTTTTTTGATAAATTGTGTTAAATGTGTAGTTTTGATATATAGTTTCTTAAATATGTAATTTTGCAATACTTTTGTCAAAATATATGTACTTTTTTTTTCAAATTTTACTCTAAAGATAAACCTTTTGCTGGCACGATAACTTTGTCATGTTGGAAAAATATAGTTGGGTGGTAAAGTTAGTTTTAGCCATGCCACCATGCATGGAGGCGATATAAAATGGTGTACCAACATTGAAATTGCCATGGAGACAACAGGGCAAAAATATTAATTAGACAATGGATATTCCATTAAGAAATAGAATACATCCAACCTTTGCATCAACTCTGAATGCACGACAGAAAAAAAAAAACAAGATCTAGGACAAACATGAACATATCACACTACCTTGCAGCAAAACATTACCTTAATAACTTAGTTGATAACTTAAAGTTTATATACATATACTCCAAAACAACACTTTCAAAAATGATTTGACGCTTGTTCGCCAATGTCATCCAAATTTAAAGCCTAAAAACAACACCTTCAATAACGGAACGATAAACAAGCAAGGGCAATATTGAATATAGTTAATTTTTTGAGTAAAATGCACTAGCGGTCCTTAAACTTGTCAGGAGGTTTCACTTAGGTCCACGAACTTTCAAAGCGCACATCGAGGTCCCTAAACTTGGTTTATTATATCATCCCGGTCCAAAACCACGTTTGACCGTGGTCATGCCTACGTGGCATGCTACGTGGACGATGACATGAAATTTTTTTCTCCCTTCTTCCTTCTTCTTTCCCTTTCTTCCTTCTTTTTTCTCAGTGGTGAGAGGCGGCATGAGGGGGAGGGGCCGTCGCGGTGGTGCTTGGCGAGGCGCCGGCCGACCGTCGCGGCGGAGGGAGGGCGACGGAGGCGGGGAAGTCGGCGGGAGGAGGCCGTGGCCAGGGTCGGAGGCGAGCACGTGGCGGCGGCGAGCGCGCGGGGGCGGCGTTGATGGGGGGAGGACAGCTGCGGCGGCAGCCTCCACGCGCCGGTCGGCCGCTGCCTCTCCCCACCTTCTTCGGATCTCAACCGGAGAAAAAAGAAGGAAGGAGGAAAAAAGAAGGAAGAAGAGAAAAAAATTCCATGCCATCATCCACGTGGTATGCCACGTAGGCAATACCACAATCAAACGCTGCTTTGAACCGGGATGATACAATAAACCAAGTTTAGAAACCTCGATGTGCATTTTGCACATTCGTGGATCTAAGTAAAACCTCCTGACAAGTTTAAGGACCGCTGGTGCATTTTACTCTTTTTTTTATGTAGAGCTATAATTTACTCAACAATTCAATTTTATATAATAAAAAATGGGGGTACTCAGCGTTACATGCATAGTATTGGAGTGAAGTCACAAAATACACGTGTTATTGTTCTAAAGGGTTCAATTGGGTATGATCGAATCCATGCTGATTAAAAATTATACATATATTAGTTTTATGCACGATTATTACTCGTAGCTAGATACTGATAATTAAGAGTAAAGTCCATCACCGATCCCTAAACTTGTATCGTTGTGTCATCCCGGTCTCTAAACTCGCAAATCGACCGTTCAGGTCCTCAAACTTGTTCGACTGTGTCATCCCGGTCCCTAAACTTGCAGACCACTCGTTTAGGTCCTCCAACTTATTCAGTTGTGTCACTCCGGTCCCTAAACAGGACGGCCTAAAAACTTTATATCAAAAAATAATTTATAACTTTTTCATGTGAATTCTAATGAAGACAAACTTTATATTAAAATTGTAGCCCTCGATGCGACCTACAACTTTTTGGTTGAAAAGTTTTGGAATTAAAACTGTTTAGGGTCCCAAAATATTGTTGCATGTTTATAGATTTTGAAATTTTAATTTTAAAATTACATTTTGGGACAAAAAATGACTTAGAATAAAAAAAAAATTCAACTACAAAGTTATAGATCGTGTCGAGGGCTACAAGCTTGATATAAAGTTTGTCTTTATTAGAATTCACATGAAAAGTTATGAATTATTTTTAAATATAAAGTCTTTAGACCGTCTTATTTCACCCGATATTCAAATCCAAGTTTAGAGACTGAGGTGACACAACTGAACAAGTTGGAGGACCTAAATAATTGATTTGCAAGTTTAGAGACCGGGATGACACAGTCGAACAAGTTTGAGGATCTGAACGGTCGATTTGCGAGTTTAGGGACCGGGATGACACAACGGTACAAATTTAGGGACCGGTGATAGACTTTACTGGATAAGATAATTAATAAGAGACTACGAAATCCATAACTAGCAAAATAACGTTCTCTAACATATAAATCACTGACAAACCAACATACCCTTTAATTTGGTTAAACATTCGAAACTTTGAGACATATAGTTTCTCAAATACTTTGTTTTCTACGAAAAAGTTATGCCTACTAGGATAAAATTAAATTGAATTAAATTAAAGGTTAAGTTTCACAAGTTTGACTAAATTTTATGACTGGACTGAAAAGAGTAAGATGGTAAAGTTTCGTAAAGCACATGTATATACAGACAATGTAGTGTGATGGTATGAATCGCCGCCGGAAACCAACAGTCAATTTCCTGGAGAAAATGCACAAAATACCAGCAAAACAGCACCACTACAAACTGACAACGAGTGAGGAAAAAAAAAGAGAAAGAACAGAATTAAGTTAAACATATAAATGTTCTCCAACTTATTCGTACATGCTAAGTTGATGAGTACATGCTAAAAATAAAGAAGAAATCAAATAAGTTCGTGACCACTAGATGGAAAATAAAAAAAAAATAGAGGGCTTTCCTCCAGTCAATAGGCTACTTTCTTTTCTGATTAATATGTAGATTTATCTCGGTTTCTATTACCACATATTTTAAATTATTAAACGGTGCATTTTGCATGGACAATTTCTATATATATATAGGTTGATTTAAAATATTATATATAACTATTTTTCGAGTTTGAAATAATTAAAACTCAATTAATTATATGCCAACAACTTTCTTGTTTTATGTGGACAGTAATAAAAGTCTCTTTCTTCAAAATGGAGGAATTTTGTGCGATTTTTATGATATTTATGCTAAATCTTAGTACTGAACATGAACATGAATCATCATGGACATCATACGGCAAATAATTTCTTCTGTGATATTTTTTTTAAGTTGGTGGTTGTTTAGCAAACCCCAAGTCCAAATTTTACAGCCTCATCATTTCATTTATATTGATTATAAATGAAATGTCTTATTAGCGATTGAAAAATAATTTATAGATAAACATTTTATATACATGTTCTTAGCGATTTAAAAGTATGTTGAAAAATAAACAATGATAAAAAAGCTTTAAAATCAACTATAAGTTTTAAGATTTAAATATTCGCTTGTACTTGTAAGGTGAAGGCTAAACGATGCGGTTGTTAAAGGTAGCGAGAAAAAAAAAACATCCAAATTCCAGATGGTCCCTCCCAAATTCCGAATGGACCTGCTCCGAAATCCAAAATTCCCAACTCAAAATGGATCCAGAAGCTTTCCCAAATGGCCCCAAATATTTTCCGAACTCCAAATGAACCCAAAAATCCAAATGGCCCCCAAAATTTCCTTTTTCCAAATTCCAGCAAATGGCCCCCAAAAATAGTTGCCATCCTGGAACTCCCTCTCCCTTCCAAAGAAAGTCACGTTCACACACACTCTCGCTCATCTCCTTCTCTCAGACTCTCACTCCACTCCACTCTATTAATCTCTCCTCTTCCAAATCCCCTCTCCTCCCCCCCAAATCTGCACCACCGCCGCGCCGCAATGGCGTCTCCTCCCCACCTCCCCCTCCTCCTCCTCCTCCTCGTCGTCGTCTGCAATGCCGCCGGCGGCGACGGTGCCAGGGTGAACCCGTTCACGGCGAAGGCGGCGTTCATCCGGTACTGGAACCGGCGGGTGCCCAACAACCGCCCCCACCCGGCCTTCTTCGTCGCCAAGCTCTCCCCGCTCCAGGCCGCCGACGCCGCCTCCTTCGCAGCCGCGCTCCCGCGGCTTCTCCCGCCGCTCTGCGCCAGGGCCGCCCTGCTCTGCCCCTCCGCCTCCGACACCGAGACGGCCGCCTCCCTCGCCGTCGGCGGCGGCGGAGGTGGTGGGCCGTTTAAGGGGTATAGTAATGCCAACTTCACCAACTACGGCAGCGGCGGCGTGGGCGGCGCCGACGGGTTCAGCGCCTACTCCCCCGACCTCAACGTCGTCGGCGACTCGTTCCGGCGGTACGGCCGCGACTCGACGCGGAGGGTGGACACGTTCGCCAGCTACGAGGCGGAGGGGAACGTGGTCACCGCCAACTTCACCTCCTACGCCGGCGCCGCCACGGGCGGGTCGGGCTCATTCTCCGCCTACGCCGCCGACACCAACGTGCCGGACTCCACCTTCACCAACTACGACGCCGAGGCCAACGGCCGCCGCCGCGAGTTCACCTCCTACTCCCAGGAGGCCAACCACGGGTCGAACACCTTCGCCGGCTACGGCAAGAACGGCAACGGCCTCAGGGAGACCTTCACCACCTACGGCAACGACTCCAACGTCATCGCCTCCGGCTTCACCAACTACGGCGAGTCCGGCAACGGCGCCACCGACACCTTCACCGCCTACGGCAAAGAGGGGAACGTCCCCGACAACACCTTCCGGAGCTACGGCGCCGGCGGCAATGCCGGCGTCGACACCTTCAAGGGCTACCGCTCCGAGTCCAATGTCGGCGACGACAGCTTCGCCTCCTACGCCAAGGGCGCCAACGGCAACGCCGCCGAGTTCCAGAACTATGGCGGCTCATTCAACCCCGGCACCGTCACCTTCAAAGGCTACGGCGAAGGGAGCAACCCCAATCACCACATTGGCTTCAAGGAGTATGCCGGGAGCAACAATTCATTCAAGGGGTATGCCAAGTCCGGCGTCGATTTCAAGGAGTACCACAACACGTCGTCGGCAGACGCGGCGACGACGATGTCATTGGAGGCGGTGTCGTCCGGCCACCAGCATTTGAAGTGGTCGCCGGAGCCAGGGAAGTTCTTTAGGGAGACGGAGCTGGTGTCCGGGAACACAATGCCGATGCCTGACATCAAGGACAAGATGCCACCCAGGGCATTCCTACCAAGGGACATTGCCAAGAAGATACCATTCAAGCCGAATGCGGTGTCGGAGGTGTTCGGGGTGCCGTTGGACACTGCAATGGGGAAGGCGGTCACGTCCACGGTGGCTGAGTGCGAGCGAGCGCCGAGCCGGGGTGAGACCAAGCGGTGTGCAACCTCAGCTGAGGACATTGTGGACTTTGCCGTGGAGATGCTAGGCAATGACATTGTTGTGCGCAGCACGGCCTCCACGGCTGGAAGTGGCGGGCAAATCAGGCTCGGCAATGTTACCGGTGTTGATGGTGGCAAGGTGACCCGGTCCGTATCGTGTCACCAGAGCTTGTTCCCGTATCTGGTGTACTACTGCCACTCGGTGCCGAAGGTGCGGGTGTATGAGGCCGATATCATGGCTGCCGACTCCGATCAGAAGATCAATCATGGGGTGGCAATTTGTCACCTCGATACTTCTGATTGGAGCCCAACCCATGGAGCGTTCATCGCGCTTGGTGGAAAACCCGGTGAGGTTGAGGTTTGTCACTGGATCTTCGAGGGTGACATGACATGGACAGTCGCGGATTAATGCGATCAAAACCATCTTATTAACCGGTCAATCTTCCTCTTGCCAAACTAAGAAGAGTTCTTTTTCCTATGCTTGATTTTTCTTCTTTTGCAACCATAAGGGTTTAAGAATTGTGCAATGTGTGTAGGAGAAAAGTGCTGGTTCATCACCAAATGTAAACAGTATATCCCGGAAATTTGGGGGAGTTGTGCGTAATTTGATTGTCTTGATCAAATTGCATTCGTTGTGGTAAAACAAGAGTGGTTCAAAAGTTTGGTCAAATTTCCTACTTAAAGTGCTGTGCTGGCAGTAGGTTGTGTCATTGTCCAAGCTATGTAGCACATCAGATGCAAATAGTTTACATCATGGTCTCAAAAAAGAGTAACTATAAAGTGTCAACTTGTAACTGAAGCTACATGGTTTGGATTTGGGTGGCTTTTGCATGGACCATCCTCCAATGTTCCAATGATCAAAAGGAACAGAAAGTGAAAAAATAAAAATAAAAACAGTGATAGCACCAGTTCTTTTTTTTTTCTTCCTCCCCTGTGAAGCTGAAAAAAAAGGAGTGGTACTGGATTCTTAGTCAGATTGACATATCTAAAGGAATGTAATCCCCTAGTGATCCAATCCAATAATGATCAACTCAAAGCATGTATGTTGCAATGTCATTTTCTCTTGAGAATCTTGAGAAAATGACCCTCTTGGATTTGCAGTACTCATGCTCTTTAGTTGTAATCAACAACTAGTAATCTGTTTCTTCCTTGTGATAGGTGACTGGATTTGGACACAATGCAGGGCTCCTGATTCCTAAGCCCTGCATGCTCATGCTCATGCGTGTTCTCCTGGAGAAGAGAGCTTGTGCACTAAAATACAATGGCTCTTTGTCAGAGCTCATGAGATGATTGCTGCCTTGCCCATTGTTGCCTAGTGCATCTGCACTGATAATCTAATCAGGATGGCCTTGGCATTGGCCTTCTACAAATCGCAAGTGGTCTAAGTGTTGGGTTGACAGGTTGTTATTACTACTACTCAACAAGACCAACCGTGTCCCCGTGATAGCTACTTATTAAGTTGATGCTGCTCTATGGCCTTGCAATCACGAGCCTCAGGCTTAATGCTGTTATAATATTCAGGTTACTGGAGTTGGGTCATGCTGGCTATTGACTGGAGTTGGGTCACTCTGGTCTCAACAAGATCCCCTGATGTATTCTGGAGGCTGTTCTGAAGTAAACAAGGTGCATCTTCTGAATGTAAGTGGAGTACTTTCTAGGCGAGTTTGGTTGCAAATATGCTCTCTGATCTAGGTTTTTTCTTTTTGCACTGCGGAAACTAGTTACAAATTACAGATGGGTATGTACTATGTACATCAGCCCTGAAACTATTTACCAATTTCTTGTAAAGTAAAACAACTATATATTCCTATTAATTTTTTTTTGACCTCCCTCTGTAAGATTTCTGAAGATGCCAAATTGCTCATCTTAGGCTCTAGGTAAAAGAAAAATCTAAAAGGATAATATAAGGATTTTATTCGATACGATGTTTCAGGACAACTCAACACATGCAAGGAATCAAAAAATCCTCATTCCGTTATGACGCATTTGACATCCGCATAAAGTTCATGATCATATTCCACTACATTGTCAACTTGGATGATCCAAACCCTGCTAGTGGATATGAGTCATACCACACTTGTGCAGGGTATCCAGCATTCCCAAAGGGCCTGGACTGGAGGGCCCTATGAACAGTAATAAATGCAAGAGAGAAATGTTCCATCCTTTATGAGGTAGACATGCATTGTCATTTGGGGGAACAGTAGTACAGCAGGGTGACTGGGTGAGACTCTTGAGAGAGGGAGGAGAGGACTCATCCATGGCTGGCTGGTAACTGGTGAGCATTTTGGAGGTCAAGGAGCTGGCAAGATTTAATGGCCAGAGTGTAATGCATCACATGAAGAAGAAGAAGAGGATCAAATTGGGGGACTGACTCAAAGATAAGGGCCTCTGATTTGCCAATTGCTAGTACTATAAAGCCTCTCCATTTCTCCAACCTCACAAGAGAAGAGTCAATGATGATCCCATTGAAATCCTTTTGTTTCTGTCTATTGTGTGTGTGTGGTGATGATGGAAGCTGCTCCTGGCTCACACTAGGGTTGTCTAGGAGAGGTATCAAGGAGTGAGTGGGCAAGTTTGGTGAAGGACTTTAGGGCATTTCTAGCCATGATCTCATGAATGATTCATCAATGAGAGGAAAACACTTTTGTTATCTGAAAATCTTTGTGAGTGTCTGGTGCTGATAATTGCAATACTGAAAACTGAAACATTGCCATGCACACCACAAGCTGTGGTCACACCATCACACCCTGTACAGCAAGTGTTTTTTCTTCTGAAAGAAAACCACTAGCATGACAAAACAATAATGATTTCTTGCTTCAGAACAAATAACAACTAGCAGTTTCCTACCTTCTAGCTAGGATCATTCTTCCCTTAAAACTTTTACCTTTTTTCTTCTGCAATCATATGGCTTGGTGCCAATCACAGAAGAAAGATAAGGCATGCCAATTTCAGAGCCTGTAAAATCCTATCTGAGACTCTATTATCAATTGTGTGAAGCCAATTTACCTTGACAACTTTTGTGAAATTGGGACTATCATTACAGCAATTATATGGCTTGGTGCCAATCAAAGAAGAAAGATAATGAATGCAATACACATGGATCTGTCTGTAATTCTTAATCTCTTTAACTGAATGTTCACGCATGCTGTTATTGTAACTTTCTCCATTAGCAGTGAAACATGATGTACATCAATAATGAGATAGAATACGACTTCTTCCAATGCTGCACTTGGTGAAAAATAGTGTCACGCTAGATCTGGCAATTAGCACAGCATGTTCATACAAATGTGCCGATCTTTAAATAATGAAGCCTATCACTAGCATGGTCGTATGGTAGCAAGGTAGGCTCATGCAACTTTTAGGGATATATTCTGTCTCACTTACACTAGAGCCACTAACAACTGAATAATCTTCTCAATAAATCAAGCAAACTGCATAAGTGCAAAAGCTTGTTTTGGAGCTTCCTTAGTAGGTTGCTAACACACAAGGCAAAGTGATCAAAGAAAGAACAAAAGAAAGAGGCTTAGCACTAAAGGTGAATTTGTTCTTTCACCGAGCTTCCGACAAAAGCTGAGCAAATTTCAAGATCTCATGGCTACTTCGCTAATTAAATGCTCACCATGTCATGCTCTTAGCTATAAGTAAAATCTGACCCAAGGAAAGAGATTGTATTCTTCCATTGCTTAAAAGTTGAATGATATTGGTTTGAAGATAGATAAATAATATTAAAGGAAATTTGCCACCTTGCAGTGGTCACAATCTATGTCAGCACAGGTCATCCTGACGTCATGCTAGATGACAAATCTCTCAGGGTAATTTGTCTTCTTGTCATAGTGCCAAAGATTTGATCATCACATAACACATTTTAACTCAAATTTCTTTCTAGAAATCTGAAAATTATATTATATGATGTTGATAGGTCACATTAACTTTTAAGATTGAGAAAAATTTACATTACAAAATGTGATACTTTTCTAGGACTGTTTGAATCTCCTGAAGATGAAGATTAAGTGTTTCATGTAAAACGATGTGGTAATAACGTGTTCTTATTGAGTTTTAATTATTACAAACTTGAAAAATGGATCAATATGATATTTTAGAACAACTTTCATATAGAAAGTTTTTGCACGAAACGCACCGTTTAGCAGTTTGAAATTCATGCCACGAAAATCAAAAACTTCATCATGTTTGTAGTGGAAACGAACGGGGCCTGAGTTTATTTTTTTCTTAGGGTTTCTTCAGAACATAGGACTGTAAAACCGTAAGAACAGAAAAAATCACAAGAATAGAATAGGAATGCATGTATAAATATAGAGGGTTGAAAAACACAGGCATTCTTTAGATGGGATTGTAAAACATGTGTTTGGGCCAGGCATTGAAAAACTGTAGGAAATGAAACAAAGAGATCCAAGCGGATGTAAATTTTCCTTTTATTTCTCAGTAGAATCCAGAGGAAACTAAAATTTTCCTTTGGTTTTACTTTAACGGTGCTATAGTCACCGAATCCAAAACCTCCATTTTCTTTTGTTTTTGTTTCGATCCAAATGAGCCCTTATCCTGGTTCCTGAATGACTTTCCAATCCTATGACACTTAAATTCCAAAGTCAGAAAGAATCTTAATTGAGGTTTGCCAGTCTTTGGTCAGCTTTGTGCTCTCAACTCTGGAGGCATACTGATTGATCCTTTTACAGACAACACAAAAGGAACGGCATAGTTTTGATGCAAAACCTGTGTTTGTTCCAGCTCCACTTTGCAATCCTGACCAAGAAAAGCCATAAACATCCTTAATGGATTCTGAAAGCAAAAGCAGACACTACCATATGCTTTGCTTCCTCATGCCTCCTGCTCAATGATTCGGAGCTTCTGTTCTTCAGTTTGTTATTATTCAATCCTGTCATTATTATTATTATTATTATTATTATTATTATTATTATTATTATTATTATTATTATTATTATTATTTGCGCAGAACAGTTATTGCTTGCCATCGACATCGTACCGAACAATCATGGCATTGATCTGAGATCAAGATGAGCAGTGAGCCATTTTGCACTCGCATTTTCTGCAGCAGAAATTAAGTTGCAAATGGCCTCCATTCCATGCCAAATCATTGAGCAGGCCATGTGCCCGGAGGACAAATAACTGTACCTGCTGCACTGCGCTACTACAGGTGCATTGCCTTCAGTGTTGCGCCCGGTTGGTAGAAGCAGCCTCTCCATGGCTTCTTATATCTGGTGTTTTATCTGAACTTATGAAGAATTTTGATTCCTTGCAAAGGAAAACCATATGTGGTGTTTTATCGATGGAAGGTTCAGATAAGCTTTTTTTTTCTTATTTTTTTAAGAGCGTGTCTCGGTGTCTGCATGTAATTATGTGCTCAAAGTCTGAAAGTGATGTGCAAACATGAGTGTGTTTGTCTGCATGTTAGTTTGCCATTTTTCTGAATGGGTTGTCTGAACCAAACATGCATGGGGAGTAAATTGCAACATGTAAATAAAAGAGTAAATTACACTAGCGGTTCATAAACTTGTAACGAAGTTTAACTTAGGTCCACGAACTTGTAAACACACATCGAGATATCTAAACTTGGTTTAATGTATCATCCCGGTCCAAAGCCTCGTTTGACCGTGGTCTTGCATACGTGGCATGCCACGTGGATGATGACATGGAATTTTTCTATTTTTTCTCCCCTCTTCCTTTTTTATCCTCCTTTTTTCTTGCTGCTGACGGCAATGAGATCCACGGCCGCCGCTCCCCTCCTCTCCCCGCTGAGCTAGACCTACCCGCAGGCCCTCGGCCTCTCGCCACCGCCGCCGCCGGCTGTGGAGTTTGCTGCTCCGGCCTCCGCGTCCTGCGCCGCCTCCCACCTCCCGGGCCTGCGCGTTGACGGCGGCTGTCCGGTGGAGGAGAAATCCTGGA